TCTCTCTCTCTCTCTCTCTCTCATAGTGCCTGGAAATAGTGAACCCTTCATGGCCCCTGGACAAATGCCCAACAGTGGCATGCAGGATATGTACAGCCAGAGTCCCGCTGGAACCATGTCCAACATGGGCATAGGCCAACGCCAACAGTTTCCCTATGGAAGTGGTTATGACCGGAGGTGAGACCTTCATCAGCTTCAAAAGGCAGAGACTAATGGTGAAAAGATTCTGCATTGTCACTGTCATTCTAACAGACCATTTAGCTGAGACATTTAATGCTCTTCAGAAAATCAACGAGAGCAAAACCACTAATAGAGACTGAGTCTATTTTGTGCAAGAACTAATAAGCAAGGGTGTGATGAATAAGGAGTCACCTTGTCTATAGAGGCCTACATTTGATGTGTTTTTGCTTAATCAGAGTTCAGCATACTACAGAATGTGTGTGTATATATGTTTAATGAACCAGCCTCTGGGAAATTGCACCTTTCACTGATGGTTTTGTGCTGTCCTTTGCAGAGGAGTACATAAAAAGAATAGATCCTCATTTCCAGGATGGTCATCTAATACACCCCAGCCTCAATAAAGTCACACACTGTTCCTTAATTGGGGCAGAGTGGGGATACATGTATAGATATATTCAGTTGTATATCTCATTCAAATAGTTAAGTGTCCATCCCAATATAGATATCATCCATCCTTGTAGCATTACTTTCAACTGGATGCATATCCTCATTCACATTGTGACCCAACACACATAACTACATGTGATTGGATTTAACATATTCTGGTATGCAGGCAAGCAATACATTCACCAATGTAGAAGGGCAACACTGGATTCATCTGGTAGATAACAGGGATATATTCCTCCCCATCCCACCCCACACCCAATTCAAACATAAGGCAGTGGGAGAGCTTTGTTCTGTGCTAGCAGCACAATGCCATATCCAGATAGATAAATAGATAGATATAAAGGCGGGTGGGGGGAGAGTTGATAGGCTGGAATTCAGTGGAGAGGAAATCCTTTTTGGAAAAGCAAATTGCTCCACCCCCAAAAGGGTAGAGGGTTGGAGAACAATGGCTGCAGAACCATGATAAAATGCACAGAATAGCAAAACCATTTTTGTTCTCTTCAAAAATAATACCATTTACAGTAAAGTTCAACCCACCTAAAAATTAGTGCTACACCAGTAAATGTAAACCCCTTGCCATTTTTCAGTATTCTGAGAAAAACAAGGCATGTAGAATGTGTTTTTCTCTGAAGCCTGGCAATATGAGCTTTCTGGTTTAGCATTATCTATGTGCTAGAAAAGCAACACAATATATTGTCAGTTTGGCTCAGTAGCTGAAGTGTCTTCTTCCTTACTGATAACAAAACTTTTGAAAAATGCTACTAAGAAAATTGACAGCAAAAAAAGACCATTGTAGATATACATTAAACAATAACATTTGCTGAAACAATAGAGGAGGCTTTATGTCACCTTACTTTACTAAAAAGATAAATAGTGAATTAAATTCAGTTTCTACCACTGATCCCAGAAAAGAAGTCCTTGAAGGGCCAGAAGATACTGAATTATTTTGAAACTCAGAATATTAGCAATTCCATGGGTTTTTAAAGCAAAAGTTGCTAAAATGAAGTCAGTTTCAAAACATTTTAATTTGTCATGTAAATATAGCCTCTAAGGACCATAACACATTAATATGACTTTGACTTTAAGAAAAAAGCAATCACAGTATTTTAAGAAAGAGAATTACTGTAGAGAATAAGGAAGATGATGTTGAGAGAGAGATGTAAGGTCCATTGCCAAGGCGACAAGGGGTGAAACATTCACCCCTTTAAGTTCATAACATTCAGAAGCAGCTCAGACAGATACCTCCCTAATTCACTGAACTGTAAGAAAGGGAGGAGGTAACAACACAATGAGACTTGCAAGATTGAGATCAACCCTAGGTAGACCAGACCAAGAAGTCAACTCCACAGCAAGACTAAAACTACTTTTATTGAGATTGACTATAATAACAGAATCTTGCAAGTCTGATTGTGTTGTACCTCCTCCCCTTATAGTTCAGTGAATTAGAGAGGTGTCTATCTGAGCCACTTCTGAACATTATCTGGACATTCTGAACTTAAAATATGTTTTACCCCTTGTCACCTTGGCAGTGGGGCTTGCATATCTCCATCAAGGTCATCCTCTTTACTCTCTACAATTACTTACTAGTTATTAATTACATAGAATCATAAGTAAGTTTCACAAATAGTTATGAAACTTGCAATCGTGTAGTTCTTTATTCATCAGGCTAAATTTACAAACAATAGCTGCATGAAGTAACATTTAAAATTGTATTCATCAAAAAGACAGACTGCAATGGCCTATAAAACATTTTCAGTCTCAGAAAAAGTGTTGGAATTCCCATAAGTCTTTTATTTTAATTCACCAGACTTGGAGAATAAGTGCTTTTTACAGTGTGAGGTTTCCTTTGTCATTTTTAGGTCGGATCATGGGCTGGGTCCTGAAGGCAGTATGGGAGCACCTGGTCAAAGCAACATGGTGCCTTCAAACAGTGACCCAAGCATGTACTCTCCTAACTGTTATCCTGGGCAACAAAGGTGAATAATTTAATCTGTTTAAAATACCTGTGTTAACCAGATAATTTTAAATCTTAAGGGCTACTGGATAGGAGGTGCAATTTGCTATACTGGATTGCTGTACTGTGTTTTTCATGCTCTCGGATCTTCTGCAAGATACTGGCATAAGCTCCTTGAGAATAATGATGGTTGTATGGCTGCAATGTTGTTAGATGGTTTTATGCTTTGGTTTATTTAATTTTTGGATTCTAGCAATGGATTCACTTGAAATGTATAGAGAACTTCAGATTACAGCATTTTTACAGATTATAAAACCATTCAGTACAGAATACTTTTCTCAATCTTTTACTTTAAATTCACTTGTAAAACAGGTTCTCAGTTGTTTCTTTGTTGATGTCTCTTCATAGATAAATTAATTGAACATGTGCTGAAATACAGGTTGCTGTCTCCTCTAGAACCTTAAAGCAAATTCGTTTCACATATTGCTCTACAGTTATAACATCAGAGTTTCTCTAACCTAATTTAACTAACCTAATTTAAACCATGTATATTTTTAGTGACAAAGTAGATCACTGAAGTTCTTGAATTACAATTACTTTCACTTTTAGCAGGTTTCACCACTACAGACCACTAGGGAATATAGATTTTTATAGAAGTATTATAAAACCACTATACGTGTATCTAAGCAATGCAGTTTCTATGATAATATTACATGTATTCAGACATACAAACACTGGCATCTCATAGTTACAGAACCAGAATCAGCAGACTTTCTAGGAGCTTCTTGCTTAAGATTGTAAGGAAGGCATGGAAGATAATAACAATAGCAGAGAGAAAAGAAAAGATAGGGAGGGGGCAAGGGAAGGTTATGTCATAGCATGTGCTAAGTACTTCATTTACAGTACTTAGGTATAAACTGTACACCATGCAAAACAAGTGAAGAGGGGAAAGAAGAGGAGAAGCCGAGAACTGTCTCCTGTAATTGGCAACAGAAGTCTATTATATCCAAGGCTGGATTAATTAGAAATACTGAAAATGAAATTGAGAAATTTGCTCCCTTTTCTCCCATGGTAATGCATTATCTTTTAAATATAAAGGCATATGTTTCAGGAGTAGCACACAGAGTGGCATGTGTAACCAAAGCCCTCCATTCTCCCTTGCCCCATTTCTTTGTATTTTTCTGCTGTACTGTTGTGACACTTCTGATTATGGTATTTGTGCTGTTACCCAATCGCACAAATATGATATCCTGGATGAGCTCATGGTGCTTACACCCAACGCTAAATGCGTATTTATTTATTTATTTATTTATTTATTTATTTATTTATTTATTTATTTATTTATTTATTTATTTATTTATTTATTTATTTATTTATTTATTTATTTATTTATTTATTTATTTATTTATTTATTTTTATTTATTTATATTTGCTTAAAATCATGCATTTTGGCGTAGGAGAATTCGATTATTTAAATGTCACATTGTAGGAACAAATGTAAAAGTTTTATCCATTTGGATAAAATGTATTAAAAATTTATCCATTTGGATAAATATATTAAGAGAGTGCTTTACTCCATCCCAGGTAAGTTTGAAGCTGCGTCTAAAGCTCTTGAGTTTGGAGCCTGATACATAATAAGCTCATTTAAACAATTTAGAAGACTGATTCTTACCTGGATTTATTACTTATGTTTGTGATCCAGTTACTGTTACCATTGCTTTACATTTCATTATTGCTTTCTATTCCAGTTCAATTATATATCCACCTCAGATTTTTAATCTTTTTTTAAATCTGATATTAGAATGGCTATTAGGTCATGTATTACTCCTTTATACATAAATCATTTTAAAACTGTAACACTTTGGCAATATTAGATAATCATGTATTGTTGCCAAGATTCTGAATTTCAAGCACAGAATCTGCTTCAACCAGTCAGTTGTATTTCTTCTCAGTTACTATACGTTGGTCAGATGCTTTTGATTTAAAGCTTAAACATTGCCAAGTGAGATTCAAGGACATGGGATCATAGACTACTAGTACCAATTCATTCATCTGAAGAAATGTGAAACATGCCTGAATCCAGGGCACATTATTTTTTTATCTGAAATGGTAAACACATTCAATCCTGAGAACAGAGACGTCATTTTTTTTTTTTTTAACAATATTGGAACGTTATCCCATAAAAGAGTAGAAAAAGATTCTAAGACAGAGTGATCACTGATCTACTCAGCTACATTTGTACAGAATAAAATTGAGTGGAACTCTAAATGTAATCCAAAATTAAAACCACTTCATTTAAAACATACTACATATTGCTCTAGACATTTGATATGAAAAAAGAGGATGCCGTTTGGAGATTTCCAGGCTTCGTGAAGGAAAGAAACCTTTTAATGGGACAATGACGTTTCAATATTTTGATGAATTTGGGAAATCATAAGCACTAATGTATAGCTTATATACTTCATTGCAGGCATGAACCATATGGACAGCAGTATCCAATGCAAGCGCCACCTTCTGGACAACCACCTTATGGAGGACACCAGCCAGGAATGTTTCCACAGCAGCAGGTAAACACCAAGTGTTATAGTATTCCTTTTGCAAAATTCATTCTAGAAATACAAGCATTTGACACTGGCAAAAAGAGTAAATAGTGGACATGTTTGCTACTTATGAGAATTTTGTATTTGTATCCTTTTATATGGAATGTTTCTTAACTGCAGTCAGCTAATGTCATGAATGATACAGAACATTCAATAAAACAATGCTGTTTTATTGACTAAGAAGTTAATGAGAAAGCATAGGTAATAAGACGTATCCCAAATAGACCTATATGTAATGGGAAAAAGGAAGAGGGAAAAGATTGTAGGACCACAGAATTGTAAAGTTGGAAGGGACTACAAGGATTAGCTAGTCGAATTCTCTGCAGTGTGCAGGAAAACCAGTTAAACCAGTGTTGTCTAAACTTGGGCACTTTAAGATGAGTGGACTTCAACTCCCAGAATTCCCCAGCCAGCCATGGGAGTTGGTTTAACTCAGTGTTGTCCAAACTTGGCCACTTTAAGATGAGTGGACTTCAACTCCCAGAATTCCCCAGCCAGCCATGGGAGTTGGTTTAACTCAGTGTTGTCCAAACTTGGCCACTTTAAGATGAGTGGACTTCAACTCCCAGAATTCCCCAGCCAGCCATGGGAGTTGAAGTCCACTCATCTTAAAGTGGCCAAGTTTGGACAACACTGAGTTAAACCAACCATAAGAAACGGCTGACCAGCCTCTTACAAATCTCCAGGCATGGGAAACCCACAGCCTTCACAGGCAGACTGTTTCACTGTTGTATAAAAGCAGAAAGGAAGATAAATCCACCTTCTTATTTAAACTTCTAAGGATATTGTAACTAGGGAGAAGGGAACACAACTAAGTGAATCTGCAGGAGTTGTCATCACCTCTCCTCCATAATTTTTTTTTTTTTTTTTATCTGCACTCAGTCGTTAC